GCCCATCCAGCCGGCCCCCGCCGGGCTGGGGTCGAGCCCCCCGGCCGTGGCCAAGGTGTCGCCGTCGCCGGTGCCCATCAGCTGCCCCGAGCCCCCCACCGTGAGCCAGCTGGTGGCCAGTGAGTCACTGGGAGCACTGGGACGGGCTGGGGGCCGTGGGGGCACGGAGGGGTCGGGGGTCCCCGGGAAGGGGCACGGCGGGAGCCGGGATCGGGTGGGAAGGGGGATAGTGGGGTCCGGGGTCCCTGGGAAGAGGGATAACAGGGACTGGGGTCCCCTGCTAATAACGGGGTCTGCAAAGTGTTGGGAAGAGAGAGATCAGAGTCTGGGATCCCTGGGAAGAGAAATAACAAAGTGTGGGAAGAGATAAGGACTGGGGGATAATGGGGTCTGGGATCCAGAGCAGAGGAATAGTGGGAAGATAAGAGATAAGGGGGACGGTGGGGAAAAGGGATAATGGGCTCTGGGATCCCTGGGAAGAGAAATAACAAAGTGTGGGATGAGATAAGGACTGGGGGATAGTGGGGTCCGGGGTCCCTGGGAAGAGGGAACGCTGTGCCTGGGGTCCTCGGGAAAAGGGATAACAGGGGCTGGGGTCCCCGGGCACAGCGGGCTCGGGGGTCCCTGGGCACGGCGGGCTCGGGGGGCTCGGGGGGCTCTGGACTCGGGGGTCCCCGGGCACAGCGGGCACAGCGGGCTCGGGGGTCCCCGGGCACGGTGGGCTCGGGGGTCCCTGGGCACGGTGGGCTCGGGGGTCCCTGGGCACAGCGGGCACAGCGGGCTCGGGGGTCCCTGGGCACAGCGGGCACAGCGGGCTCGGGGGGCTCGGGGGGCTCTAGACTCGGGGGTCCCCGGGCACAGCAGGCTCGGGGGTCCCCGGGCACAGCGGGCTCGGGGGGCTCGGGGGTCCCTGGGCCCGGGGCTCACAGCCCCCCGTGCCCCCCAGAGCCCCCCGCCCCGCCCAGCACGGAGGAGGACGGGATCAACCTGGAGGAAATCCGGGAATTCGCCAAGAACTTCAAACTGCGGCGCCTCTCGCTGGGGCTGACCCAGACCCAGGTGGGGCAGGCCCTGACGGCCACCGAGGGCCCTGCCTACAGCCAGTCGGCCATCTGCAGGTAATGGCACCTGGGGACAGGGACAGGTAATGGCACCTGGGGACAGGGACAGGGACAGGGACAGGGACAGGTAATGGCACCTGGGGACAGGGACAGGGACAGGGACAGGGACAGGTAATGGCACCTGGGGACAGGGACAGGTAATGGCACCTGGGGACAGGGAGAGACAGGGCCACCTGCAGGTAATGGCACCTGGGGACAGGGACAGGGACAGGGACAGGTAATGGCACCTGGGGACAGGGACAGGGACAGGGACAGGGACAGGGACAGGTAATGGCACCTGGGGACAGGGACAGGGACAGGTGACAGCACCTGGGGACAGGGACAGGGACAGGGACAGGTAATGGCACCTGGGGACAGGGACAGGGCCACCTGCAGGTAATGGCACCTGGGGACAGCTGTGGGGACAGGGACAGGGACAGGTAATGGCACCTGGGGACAGGACCACCTGCAGGTAATGTCACCTGGGGGGACAGGGACAGGTAATGGCACCTGGGGACAGGACCACCTGCAGGTAATGGCACCTGGGGGGACAGGGACAGGGCCATCTGCAGGTGAGGGGACAGGACAGTCATAGGGACAGGCCCAGGGGCAGGCACAGGAGGAGGAAAGGGGAAAAGATGGAAAATTTGGGGAAGGGAGAAGTGGAGAATGGGAGGAAAACAGGAGGGAAGGAAGGAAATCGGAGAGAAGAAGGAAAACAGGAGGGAAGGAAGGAAATTGGAGAGAAGGAGGAAAACTCTGGGAAAGGAGGAAAAGCTGAGAATGGGAGGAAAGTGGGGGAACGGAAAGCTGGAGAAAGGGGGGAGAGGAGGAGGGACGGGAAACTGGAGCAAAAGGAAAATGGGCAAAGGAGGAAATGGGGTCGAGGAGGAACCTGAGCAAGGGAAGGGCTGGAGGCGCTGGGCACGGCTCCCCCTCAGTGTCACCCCCAGTCCCACCTGCTGTCCCCTTGTCCCCCAGCCCTGAGGGTCTCCCGTGTCCTCCACATCCCCGCAGGTTTGACAAGATGGACATCAGCCCCAAGACATCCCTGCCCAGTGTCCCCTGAGTGTCCCCAGCGTCCCCTGTGTGCCCCCTGAGTGTCCCCTGAGTGTTCCCTGCGTCCCCCCTGCGTCCCCCCTGAGTGTCCCCTGAGTGTCCCCAGTGTCCCCAGTTTCGAGAAGCTGGACATCCCCCCTTGAGTGTCCTCCCTGAGTGTCCTCTGAGTGTCATCCCTGAGTGTCCCCTGTGTCCCCTGAGTGTGCCCTGAGTGTCCCTGTGTCCCCAGGTTTGAGAAGTTGGACATTCCCCCTGAGTGTCCCCTGAGTGTCCCCTGAGTGTCCCCAGTGTCCCCATGTGTCCCCAGTTTCGAGAAGCTGGACATCCCCCCTGAGTGTCCTCTGAGTGTCCCCTGAGTGTCCCCTGAGTGTCCCCTGAGTGTCCCCTGTGTCCCTCTGAGTGTCCCTGTGTCCCCCTGAGTGTCCCCGTGTCCCCAGGTTCGAGAAGCTGGACATCCCCCCTGAGTGTCCCCTGAGTGTCCCCTGAGTGTCCCCAGTGTCCCCGTGTCCCCAGGTTCGAGAAGCTGGACATCCCCTCTGACTGTCCCCGTGTCCCCAGGTTCGAGAAGCTGGACATCCCC